ATACGATGATTTTGTTGAATATTTTTATCATAATGGAATTGGTGTCGAAAAGAATAAACAAAACATTCGAATATTTTTAAAAATCTGCAGAGATAGGACACGCTATGGAACATATAGTGTTGGATGTTGTTATGCTGAAGGAATTGGTATCGGAAAGAATAAACAAAAGACATTCGAATATTTTCAGAAAGTTGCAGAGATAGGACATGCTAGTAGAACATACAACATTGGATGTTGTTAATTTCATTGATTTTGTAAATGTTCAGGCATTGCGTTTTAATTTAAATAACACTTATGCAAGTGCTGGAATAGACAAAATCTCTCAAATTTTGAGTTCATGGAATGTTTTTGTAAATAATTCAAAACTCGTTTTAGGCGTTGAATTTGGTGGAATTGTTGAAATTGTTTCTGATGATAGTAATAATATTAAATCAGACATCGAGAGTCAACAACTCAACCAGTAAATGACTCAAATTTTAAGTTCCTTTTTACAAATAATGAACAGATTTCAGATTAATGTAAGTGTTCATCATATGCATATTGGTCTTGGGAAATGTTTAGTACTTTATTATCATCATCATCTTGTTCTACGAATTTAATTTCATTGTCACAATGGACCTATGGTTTTATTAGCAATGTGAAACAACCATATTTTTACCAACAACAAAACTCTTCAAACTACTATGTCATTTTCTATGAAGATTATCAATCGTTAAATGCCAAACTTGACTATATAAAAAATAATAATTTAGCAGGAATTGCGATTGCGGACATCACCAAGGATTCGAAAGATTTACGATTGACAAACTTTATTTTGGGAATTCTACCAAATAATCCGGGAAGGAATGAAAATTCAACCTCTTTATCTCCCAATATAGCTGCAATAGTGGGTGGTGTAATAGGCTCCATTATTTTTGTTAGCGCATTAGTAGCTGTTGGTATCATATTGTATCGAAGAAGGCACAAACCAAGAAATGTTGTAACAACTGTCATAGCAATGTTTGATTATGTGGAAAAAGAGGCAAATAATTTGAGTTTTAAAGCAGGTGATGTTATTGAAGTACTTTATGATTAAGGAATTAGAGTCGAAAAGAATGAAAAAAAAAAAAAAAAAAAATCAGAAGGCATTTGAATATTACTTTAAATCTGTGGAAATTGGTGATGCAGATGGAAATATCTCCTGGACAAAGACTATTTGATGGCGAATCATATGACACTGATCTTGTGATGACGATTTGTTTCGGATTACGACCTGAATTTATTCCTGGGACTCCAGAATATTATGTTGAATTGGCCAAGTAATTGAGATAGCATTGACTCATACCTTCAATCCACATCATTACGTGTCAAAAAAAAAATAAAAAAATCAAGAAAAATGCCATGGGCACGTTTTCTTCCTCACCTGTATCTTGCCTTACTACTCTCATATGATATGAGTACATTTAAAGATCTGATTATATTCTTGCTCCATGAC